GAGGGCAGCGCCGGTAGCCCACGGACCCCGGTTGCCTTGGAGAAAGGGGGGAAAAAACCCCAGCCCATCTTTAAAGGATGCAGCTCCGGTCCCCTGGGCAGTCCGGTGTCCGCGGGGCGGTTCGCAGGCACCGAAACTTACCGAAAATTTCGTTTCCGAACACGGAGAAATAAGAAGCGGGTGGTCGCTTGAGCCACGGGGTTAGTTTTTATGAAACTGGATTTACCTCAGATTTCCCCCGTCTCTAGGTGACCTTTTGGTTGCAGGGATACCAGGTACCATTTGATTTTTTATTTGACTGTTGCTGCGAAACTGGTTTCATGCCTGATTGATCGGGGACTCGTGTTGCAGAGGGCTGTGTTTGTTGATATGTTTGGGGGTGAAATACATCACTCGAGTCCTTCTTGGGAGAGGGGGGGTCTGGAGGAGCTGTTCTGCTCCTCATAGAAGGTTCCTTCTGCAGAGTGTCAGATGTGGATGGTCTCGGTTCTGATCCGTAAGACAGCTCAGTTTCCATTGTGCTCTGTGGCTGTTTTAGCCCAGGGATGAATTAATTGGGTGAAAGTTAGTAAAAAAGCATGTCTGTGCAGTGGGGGTGGATAAACATGCTGGAATAAGTTCTGCTGAGAAGAACAAACCCAAACCTTTATTCTGTCAGCAACCCATGAGAGGATGATTTGCTTCCAGAACCCACCGAGGCGCTTGGAGGTGACAGAAACCAGCACTCCCCCCCCCAAAAAAAAATCTCCATACTAATTTATATCTGTCATTTTTAAACCCAACTTTTATCAGGCCACCGATAATCTCTCGTGCTGTTTTTTGATCCGCTTGGATACAGATACCAGACAGTGCCTCTGTCTCTGGAAGTGCAAGAGCAGGGCGTTTGGGTTGATCCTTTTTCCTTTGCGTGACCCAGATTTTTATTTGCTGAAGTTGAAAAGTATTCTTGCCTATTGATGATGTATGAAGTTTGAAATTTAGTGCTGGGGGAGAGATGGCTACAGAGCTCGTGCAGTGTTAGAACTAGGACAGATTTCGTGGTCTGCAGGGGTTCTGGGAGTTAAAATCCACTTACCTCCTAATTTTCAACCTTAACTAAGTTTCTTGGTTTTCAGAAATGCTGGTCACTTAGAGCTGCAATTGATTTCTCTAGGAGTTAGGCTTGCTCAGCACTTAAATCAGGGGTAGGTGATTCTTTGGGAGTGACTTGATGTGGAAGTAGGTACTTCTGTCTGAAAATTTTAGACTATAGGAACGTGATTTGATACACATGATGATGTTCTAATAAAACTCGTGCTTGAGGGGAATGTAGGCATAGGGCCATAGCTCTGAGTAAAGGCAAAGAAGTATTGGAGTCATTCATTTTTAAGTTTATTTTGTTTTGGTTTTCTAATTTTGCTTAAAATAGCTTTTCAAAGTAGTGTTAAGTAAAGGAGTTAAACACTGAATTAAGTATTGGAGAATTAATACATTCTGAAAGGAGAAAGATATTTACATAATATGGATATGAAACTCTGAGGCAATTCCTTAAAAATTTAAAAAATTGTTGTTACTTGTACATGATTTTTCATAATAATAAAAGACTAGGTCATGCATTTTGCTCCCTGCCTCAAGAGAGTGCCATGTGGGGTGAGAGGGGCTTTTTTAGGGTCTATTTTAGAAGAAGCTTGACTTTTCTTTTATTTATATATTCCTCTTGTTGGCTGCCATGGGGGTTTGCAGAATTGTGGCTCCATTTGACAGCCGTGCATCCCTGCCTCATCTGATCCTTTCCTCTGTGGCAGAAGTGTTTCCCATTCAGCTTCTGCAGGGCAAGGTCTTTGGAGGAGCAGAGCTGTCCTTCGAGGAGCAGAGCTGTGATGAGCAATTTCCATGGCGTTTATATGATTTATATGTCCTCCTTTCAGGATCTCTCTGGTTCCCCTCCTTCCTTGCTACCTTCTTCCCTCTTTTCCTCCCAGATCCCTGGGTGAGAGGCAACCCTTGGTGCTGCTGGCACCAGCCATGGGGCTGTGGCCATCGAGGAGGGGTGGTGGTTGTGTTGATCCATTCCTCTCAGCCCAGGGTGGGGAGCAGGAATTTGGGTCTTGCCTAACTGCTGAGCAGTTTCTCTCTTGAAACTCATCGAGCTGTCAGATCCAGGAGACCGTTTCCCTCGGTTTGATTGAAATTGGACAAATGGTTGAGAGGTGATGGATGGGGCAGGGAGATGGGACTGGCAGGCAGGCAGAGAGGGGGATAGAGAGAGTGAGCGGATACGCCTCGTTTCCTTAGGAAATGAAGACATTTCCTTAGGAAATCACACCGTCCCATCACTTATTAATTTTCCCTTTTTTTTTTTTTTGTATATGTCTTTGCTAGTTATGGAGACAAAAGGATACCACAGCTACCCAGAAGGCTTAGATATGGAGAGACGGTGGGGTCAAGTTTCTCAGTCTGTGGAGTATTCTTCCATAGGTGCTGGCCAGCAGGGCGACGACGGTAACTACATGGAGATCGTAAACGTGAGCTGTGCTGCCAGCGCCTTTGCCAACAGCAACGCTCAAGGAAACAGCAAAGAAAAACCCGAGCTCCTCTCCTGCCTGCAGCAAGACACCCATCAGCCTGGGCTCTTGCCTGCTGACATCAAAACCGAGAGCGAGTCGAAGGAGCTGTCGGCCACGGTGGCGGAATCCATGGGTTTGTACATGGATTCCATACGGGACGCCGACTACCCCTACGATCAGCAGAACCAGGGGAGCCCGGGGAAGATCTACCCAAACGTGGAGCAGCTGGTGAAGCTCTACAAGGAGAACGGCCACTGCTCTTCTCCCCTCCACGGTGCCAGCAGGCCCTTGAGGTCGCTGATGTCGGACTCGGGGAGCGCCGTGAACGGCGGTGCCATGCATGCTGTTGTCAAAAGCCCTACCCTGTGTCAAGAGAAGAGCCCCTCGGGCTGCAGCCCTCAGAACGTGGCCTCCTCGGTGTGTAGTCCCGCCGGGGTCAACTCGGTGTCCTCCACCACTGCTAACTTTGGGAGCTTTGCTGTGCACAGCCCCATCAGCCAGGGGACCCCTTCGTCACGCTCGCCCAACGTGGAGAACCGGGGCTCCATGTTGCACAGCCCCGCGCACGTCAGCAACGTGGGGTCCCCGCTTTCCAGCCCTATAAGTAGCATGAAGTCACCGATTTCCAGCCCTCCCAGCCACTGCAGCGTGAAATCTCCCGTCTCGAGCCCCAACAACATCACCATGAGGTCTTCTGTCTCCAGCCCTGCCAACCTGAACTCGAGGAGCTCCATTGCCAGCCCTTCCAACGCCAACAACCGGTCCACTCGCTCCAGCCCGGCGGTGAGCACGGTGGGATCATCCATCTGTAGCCCCGTAAACAACTCCCTGGGATTCCCAGCTTCTGGCACGCCCGTGGGACCCGGCAGGAGCCAGGACACCGTTCCCAGTCCAGAAACAAAAGAGAAGGGTGCTCAAGACCTCGCCTTCCCTAAGATGGAGGAGATGGAGGACGCCATCTCCAACAGCGGTCAGATGAACCTGGTGCAGTTCATCAAACCCGAACCAGATGGTTCCTTCGGCGGCGCCTGCGTCGGTGACAGCAACAAAATAAGCTCAGATTCCCCCTTCTCGGTGCCGGTGAAGCAAGAGTCGGCCAAGCATCCTTGTTCTGGTGCCCCTTTCAAAGGGAATCAGCCAGTCAATCCTTTCCCATTTACAGACGGCTCCTATTTTTCTTTCATGGATGACAAAGACTATTACTCTCTTTCTGGGATTTTAGGACCACCTGTTTCTTCCTTTGAGGGAAGTTGCGAAGGGAGCGGTTTCCCAAATCCAGGCCTGCGGGTGGGAATTAAGCAGGAGCCTGAGGATGGCAGCTACTACCAAGAGAACAGCGTGCCACCCTCGGCCATCGTGGGGGTCAATTCAGGTGGACAGTCCTTTCACTACAGGATCGGGGCCCAGGGCACGATATCGTTGTCGCGGCCCGTTGCTCGGGAGCAAGCCTTCCAGCACTTGAGCTCCTTCCCTCCCGTCAGCACCCTGGTGGAGACCTGGAAGTCCCATTCAGAGTTGGCATCCAGAAGAAGTGATGGGTATCCAGTTCTAGAGTACATTCCAGAGAACGTGTCCAGGTGAGCAGACCCATTCCATGGGGGTTTTTTTTCCCCCCTTCTTCCCCTGCGTCAAATGGAACGAGACGTGGTTTGAAACGGGGACGTTCAGAATTGCTCGAGCTGGTGCAGAGTTCTTTGTTTGCATTTGAATTCTTATCATTAGATTTGCTGGTTTCTTGCCTCCAATAAAAACAAAGTGCTGGCTTTAATAGTTAAAAAGAAGATATTATATTCTACAGTGACTAGAATTGAAAGAGTAGCTTTTAGTGTGTTTATGAGCTCTTGCTACTATAAATGTTGTTTTTCCCATAATGAGAGCTTAGTAAAATTGCTCTCGTGTGTCCTTTAATGGTTGTTTTTTTCTTAGCTGGTGCTTGAATGTCTCGTGGCTCAGCTGAAAAGTTGAGATGAGGATAAGGAGATGATAGTGCTGGGAGTCTATGTTTGTGTGAGGATGCATGGTGATAAGTTTGCACCAGACTTGAACTGGTTAAGTTGGAAAACGAAACCTTCCGAGCCCGTGGCAACGTATTTCTGTATTTTAACTGTAGGAACATTTGGTTTGTATATATAGAAAAAATGCCTCCAGAAGGAGGAGGGCTGTTAAAACTTGACGCATTGGAAAGGGATAAATGGATAAACTGATCTCCTCACTTTTGGTGGAAGAGAAATGTGGAAGTGTCGTTTGGATTTGTGGTTTTTTGGATGATTTGTTGGAGCACGTGCTCCTTCAGCAAACAGGTGTTCATGTATCTCATAAAGGATGCTTACTTTCATAAATTACCTAGTTTCATAGCCAATATTACAAGTTATTGCTGAGTTAGGATTCTTGCCTACCCTCCTCATGGGTCAAACAGGTTTGCACTGAAGTTGGGTGAAATAACCAGTACCAGAATGTGCATTTACCTTTCTCAAGCCTCTTTTTTCTGCTCTTGGGATGTGCAGCTGCCCTGGGTGAATGAACGTCTGCCTTATTCATAGAGAGGGGTGCAGAGGATGTGCAGTGTTTCCATATTTCTGTGGGGCTAAATATTTCTGAAAAAAACCCCCCAGTGTGGCAGTGAAAAACAGGCTACCTAAAATAATGGTGCTTTTTCTATCTGGGAGGAAAAAAAAAAGACCATTTTCCCATTTTATTCTCAGATTTGTCCAATACCTCTACAACCTCCCTTGCCATTTTGCAGGCCATATGTCATCTTTTCTTTAGCCATGTTTGAAATAAGTTCTCTAAAGAATGCACTTAATATATCTCTCTCCACTTGAAGGGACTCTGTCCCACCTTCATGCTGACTTTTGCATGTGGCTGGATGTTTGTCATCATCCAGGCTTGACATAAAGATGCTTTCTTGGATGAAGGAAGATGAAGTTACTGATTTCTAGTTATTTTACCTGATGAAATTTTCATCAATTGCATTATTTATATGGTGAGAAAAGTTGACTGGGAGACTGCTGGGATGCCTCCAAACAGAGACCCAGTATTTTACTGCCTTGATGGTTGAGCACTAGCTCCTGCCAGCCATGAGAGCTCTTGCTTGAGTAAGTGCTGCTTGTGCTGAGTCAAGGTCATCATCCACTGCACAACAAACAGGGAAGTGCTGGGAGGAGCATGGTTGTCACCCATGGTTGTGTTTTGAATGAGAGCTTCTCATAGGGCTTTTGAAGGAGTCTCCTGACCTGCTGTTAGTGCACAGGAGCTCCTCTCATCTATTTACCTCTAGACCAGTCCATGGGTAATGTGTCATCAGGCTTGATGATGACACAGGCTTGATAAACTTCTCTGTTTTTTTTTTTCTCTAAGCTGATACCTCAGTGAGATAAGCTGTTAACTTTGCAGGACTGAAATCCTGAGATTTCTAGAGCTCAAAGCTATTTCTGCACACGTGGAGTTCTGTTGAGGGGATGGAGAGCTGCAGGGTTGTGGCATCTAAGGCACCCCGATGTGTAGTTCAGGTTAGGAGGTGTCATCATTTAAAATCTCTTAACTCAGCCCCATTATTTAACTAAATGTTGCTCTCAGTGTGCTTGGTAGTGGCTTCATGCTGACAGATGCAGCCAGGGGCCTGTGCAAAGCCCTTAAAACTTTCAAGGGAAATTCATGGAGGGGTCATTTGGTACAAACGTGATAAAAAAGGTGCCTGCTCAGGTATTTATCTGCTGATGAGACATGTTATTAAAGACTCCACATAGGATGTCACACATGTAAAAGCTCATTCTTGCTGATAAACCTCAAATTGATCTTTACTTTTCATTGCTGTGTCGTGTTCCAGCTAAACCAGAGGAAATCAGGTACAAGTTTATTACAAGCAGAGTTTAAAACCATGTCAGACCCAAGATGCCAAGGTGGTTTCAGCTGTCCCATGTCAGCAGGGTATGGGGACTGCAGTCCCTTCCTGCAGCAGAACCTGAAAAAAAAATAGGGAAAAGAAATAGAGTATATGGTTCTCTAAAGACGAATAGATGACCAGCATGGAATATATGTCTTGGTTTGGTAACTTCATAACATTGCAGCTTGTGTTCTGTGAGGGATTCAGCAAAACCAAGTTCCCTTATTGCCTTTTAAACTATTTTCTTCTGCTCATATGCATGCAGAACTTGTATTTGAAAGATTTTTACATTTAATTTTGAATAGAGGGTGAATCATAGCTGTCTGTGTGTATAGATCCACATTCCATGAATGCTATTTCTAAGAAACAATGGTCTCCAAACTAAATAATAGCAAAAGGGGCTTAAAAAAGAAGGTATGTGTGATATCTAAAGGGTGGGTGTCAAGAAGATGGGGCCAGTTTTGCATAGATGCTACTTGTAGTAGCCTCAAAAAACCCCCACCCAATCCCAGGTTAAATCAACAAAGCAACAACATGATCCTTGTTTACATGTAACCTGCACTGACTTGAATCCTCAATTCTGGTTAAAATCTGATTTCAGACTATTGCAAGTATTTTTGTAAATAAACTTTTATGTTAAATATTATCTAGAATAGTCACTTATCAGAATTATACCTTCCAGAGAGATAAAGGTCTGGTAAATATTATTTTTAGAATTTATGAATGGCCTTGACCTCTGTTTGCTGATGGACTTTGTAGGAAACAGACCATGCTGTTAAAATATTCTCTGTGCATGGCAGGGCTGTTTTCCCCTTGAGCTTCCCACCAATTTACTCTGCAAACTTTTTGGTTTTGGCCAATGATTCTTTCATTTTTTTTGTTTCTCTCTTTTCCTTGAGGAGTTCAAAATCTGGATAAAGTATCTTTTGAAAACGTGGCTGCTAATTGATGTCCACACTGCTGGAAAATTGTGTTCCATAAATGGGTGGATCTGCCAAATCTGGGGCAATAAGAGCTCCACTGTCAATCCATACTCCAATATCTAGAGGTTGTTTTGTTTGTTTGGGGGGGTTAAGCAATGTTGTGCATTACTAAAACATTTTTATTGCCAGTTGATACCACTGAACTTTGCAATGCTGAGCTGTTGGAAATCAGTTTGCCATAGTTTACTCTGATAATAGTTAATAATTGTGGCCTGGCCTTTATGTGACTTTGGGTGATCACTCTCACTGTGATATCTTCTTTTTTATGGTTTTCTGAAAAAAAAGGGGAAGGTGGGATCACCTTTGTGCACAGGTTTTTAGCAAGCAGAAGAAGTTTTGGTTATCTGTAGTCCAACAGAGTGGATCAGTCAGACTGGAAGACACTGAGGACTGAAACACACATTATATAAAGAGATTCCCACCCTATTTTAGGGTTTGGGCATTGCAGTTGTGCTGGGAACCATGCACAGGGATTGCTGCAGTGGTATCAAGACTTGGGGAGTTCTCTTATTGTCTGCAGAGGGAGTAAGTTGTTGAGATTCAATAACCCATCCTAATAGAACTCAAACCTGCTGCAAAGTGCCCTGCCCAGCTGAATGAAACTTCTAGCTGGTCTTGGTGGCTTGCTGAACCCACCAGCCTTGAGGAGCAGTTGCTGTTGGGTGTGTTTGGAGCTGGAGGATATGTTGCAGTGGCCAAATACACTGTTGGGCCATGCCTTGTCTGGGCTGACTCTTGGTTTTGCCCTTTGTTTGGGTGTGTCCTGTGTGAGACCTGTGTCAGGTTCCTGATCTAGTTTGCTCTGAAGCTCTAAAAGCCAACAGGTCAGTGCAGCTCGTTGAGCAGCGTGGTGTGACGTGGATGTGAGAGCAAACTGGAGGGACTGGGAAGGAAAAAGCAGCTTGTGAAGTCCCCTAAAGGGCACGTTTCTGCTAAAAGGCACCACGTTGTTGAGCCAGAATCTTGGCACTTGTGTTTTCAGGGTATGTTTTTAATTCTGGTGGACTGCATGTGTCGAGTCTTCAAACAGAGTTGTAGGAGCTGGAATTAATAATGGATTGATTTCAACCAAAACGTTTTGGAGAACAGTGGAGGGCTGTGATTTCAGATTTAAGCTCCTACATGTTGGAAAAGAGCACAGTTTAGGATGGATACAGAATCCTGACTTGTTCTCTGGCAAAGCAGGGCTGTGTAAGACTGATAAAAATGGTCCAGCAAGGCAACTAAAAAGAAGGTGTGAAAGACAGGTATTAAATATGTCTGAGCTTGGTGCTTTTATCAGTTTTCACGTGCAGCTGGTTACTACATAATGTTTAGTGTTCAGCATATGAGTTCCTTCAACTGCAGCCTCCTCTGAGTGGGGAAAATCCAGGTATTTCCGTGTGCAGTTGTCCAAGTCCTTGCAGCATTATTGGGCACGTTTGAGTGCACCCTAAATAGATCCTGGCATGATTGGACTGCTTACTCCTCTACAAATTGCAGTGGAAGGTCACCCACTGTCTGCTGTGTCCTCCTGAAAGTCCTCTCCTGCTGGAGCCACGTTGGTTTTGCTGCCTGGAGGAGACGGGTTGACCTTGGAAGAGGGAATACTCCTTGGATTTACACCACAGGGGGAGGGATTGTAGGTCAGGAAGGTGGTGTTGATCCATGCCAGCAGTTTCCAACGTAGCCTGTTCCAGTACCACTGGAGTTCTGCAAAATTTTGAGAGCTGATT